TAAAGGTCATTATAGTAATATTTTCCATTCCACGTTGTTTGCAAGCTACCGTTTTCTCTAAATTTGTATTGATCTGTAGGTATTTCAAACAACATGTTTAGCATGGTTTGATGAAGTATGTATTGTACCTTGACTTGCTAGTGCTGATTACATTGGCTAGCGCAAAGTAATATTTCTTGCCTGGTTAAAAAAAAAAGTGTTTTTAAAAGGAGTGGGAAAGTTACTATTTTTTCAAAATGTATTCCTTGTTTTAGATGTTGAAATTTTACTTGTGTGCTTTACCCCGAAGATATCAGCTCTTGATCTAAAACACATTTCACGTATTTTCATTTCGCCTTCCAATTCAGCTGGTAATAAATTTAAAGCTTCCATTTAGCTATCTTTCTAATCTTCTGTAAGTTGTAGTATAATTTTTTAGAATCTGTCTCGCAGATCGCAGTTAAATGCAACAGAGCATAGAAAGTATAAAATACCTCTTGACTACTACGTTGTAGACCGTTTTCCTTCTCTCTGAACAGAGTCAGATTTGAAAGAGCAAATGAAAGTATTATTCTACAGGAGCAATTAAAGAGCAGTAATAAATGACAAGTTCAAAATGCCAGTTGAACAATCATTAATTTGTAATGAAATACCAGTTTTGGGGGGAGAGGGCATTCGATTTTGTAATAATTTAAGTTTTGATATTAATTAAACTATTTTCTCATAAATCGCCTGCGTTATTCTTATCTTTTGTTTCTGACAAATGTTTCTTTACAACATTAATGCAAGATAAAGTGTTGGTTCTGAAATAGGCAGAATACGTATTCATTTTATTTTTCGAAGTTACATTTCTAGTTACACCTACATTTCGCTTTTTTAAAATATTTCCAGTTCAGAAATTTTAGTGATTATTAGAAGTTTCAATGGAATGATTAAAATATTGTAACTCAGACTTTGAAACATAGTTTACAATAAAACTTGTGATAATTTGTTTCTCTGGAAAACTTAATTAACGTTCAGGTGACGCTCTTTGAGAAAGAACAGCGTAAAAGCTATTGTAAAGTAACAGGAAGATAACAAAAAAAAAAAAAAAAAATTGGAAAATATTTAATCAAAAATGAGTCACATACCCAAACGATTACCGATTAAATGCAGCTTTAAATAACGAATATGTATTTAAAAAAATAATTTTAAAAATCTAAAAGGTTTCAGGTTTTAACAGTGGGCGAAAAAGGTTTTTGAAGATTTTTTTACGCTCCCGCTAAGCTCGCAGGCTACTAGTCTGCTCTTGCACTCACCTCCTGTTCAACCCCCCCTTTTTTTTTTTTATCTTTTTAGGTTCAATAGTAAAAAAAAGTTTTCTTCGCACCTACGCCATATACAATCTAGCAACAAAACTACACAAATTTTAATAGCGATATAGTAACATATTTTAGAATTCCCGTTAAAATGTTAAGTATTGGCATGCATTTTATATCTTTGCATTCTTTTCTCAGTTAGTCAGATCAGTTTTCAGTTTTATAAGATAGCTTACAATTTTTTTAATCTTTTTATTATTAACATTTTGTATGTTAAATTTATTAATTAAATATCACGTTCTTCGTACTTAAACACATAAAATTCTATTCAAAAGAAAAATCACAAAATATTTAAAAGCAGCATCCCTTTAGAATTTCCATTTTTGACAATTTTGTGCTCTGAAAATTAAAATGTTTTATTACGTACAGTGTTGTCACTGCTCCACTTACAAAATGAGTTTGTTAATCAAAAATTCATTCAAGTTTGCAAACTGTGAAACAAATAATTAAAACATATATATGGTGTATCGAGAACTTAATCGTAATCGAACTTGGACCTGGCATGCACAATTATTGGGTAGCTCTCGAATTGAGTATGTACGGGCAGACCGTAAGTTCCAGTCGTGGAAGTTTCACGTGTGTTATGTCTTGTATATAATAAAGTGGCGTATAATAAATTGTCGTGTGTAATAAATACCGACTAAAGGCAGAATAGAGGTGGCGTCGAGGATGAGATATTTTCTAGAAGAATAAGAAGAATGCTTTCGCAATGTGTTTTAGCGCAATCCGTGTTCATGTGGATTAGGGGATTCTCCGAAGACGGCTCAAGGTAAAACTTTTATAATTATTTTATTCGGAGGAATTAACCATGGAGCAGCTTGTAACTGAGCTCATAAAGCAGAATAAAGCTCTGAAGAGACTTACTTCAGTTATAACTACATCAATAGATAATTCTAAACTTTCTGTTCAGTTTGAAAAGTATAATGAACATGAACAACACTGTGATTCATTCTTAGAAAGATTCGAAAGTTATTTAGATATACAAAATGTTTCACAGGACAAGTACTGATTTCCATTCATTTACCGCTAAGTTGTTTCGTTTATCGACAAGTTGTTTCATTTATGGTAACCTGAGTAGATGAATGTTATGGAACCCTATTATGACGTAATCGGTTGCATGATTGCGGTAAATTTTGAATTATGGTATGTTTTGTAAGGGCTTGTAGTGTGTGTTGGTTAGGAAGTGCATTGCTTATTTTCCTGTTTAGGCGGTAGAATGGCTGAATGTAGTAAGATTAATTTGAAGTTTCTGTACGATTTAGAACGAAAGGGGAAAACAGCATTTATTGACTGGTGTGGTAAATGAAGGTTTACTCAGTAGCCGTTTTCCGGACAGTCCGGAACTAGAGGATATTTTTTACTCTTTATTACGAAATTTAATGTGGGACGCGAATACGGATTCGGTTCATATAATTTAGGAAATTTTAGGAATTTGGTTTCACAGACTGAAGACGAGAAATTTAAAAACGGTAAATGGATTATGCGTTGCGTCTGATTAGACGCCTAGATTTCTTTCCCTTTAATTGTGTTTTATGTTTGGTTTAAAATGTAGTTTATTCAGATTATGTATTTTTTGTTTGCCTCGGCTGTAGAATTCGGTGCTCCTTTGACTTTTTAAGTGAAAATATATCGATGTGTACATGGACAAAGTCAAGGGAGTGCGCAATGCCAAGTTTCATGCACATACTCAGTCAGAGGAAGCTACCGACCGGAACGGTTAAGCTAACGACCCTGCTGGAAGAAGGTTTAAGCTAACGACCTCTATCTAAAAGGAGAGAGGGAAAATCTGGCAACGGAGAAAAATAAGCGTGGTTGAGACGAGAAAGACGGCGCTCTCGTGGGAAAGTACTTTGGCTTATTGTGTGTATTCCTTTGGTTCTTTAATATAGCTGGAAGGTAAAAGTCTTAGTTGTGCGTTCGACGTAATTTTAAACAAAATACTTTATGAAGAGATAATTTGTATTTCAAGAATGAAAATATAGCTTACTTTATTATTGTTAATCATGCGTGAGTGTGTCATTTTATTTTTCGTAAGGAGAGTTGAGAAATAATATTCATAAGTGGATGGAAATGAACCGACAAAGTAGAATGGGTCAAGACTTTAGAACGAGTGAAAAGTCAAGGATCATAACACCAAATTTTTGCAATTCTCTGATGCTTTTTAAGTGAAAATAGGTCAACCTGTACATGAATAGAATCAAGGAAATGCGCAATGCCTAGTTTGTGCAATTCTGTGACCTTTTTCAAGTGAACATAGATCAATGTGTGCATGGATATGTGTGCAGTTTGTGCAATTCTTGGACTTTTTATTTTGTCTTTGTGTAACGGCGATTTTTGGCTCTAAAATCGCCTCTACGCAAAGCCAAAATAATAAGTCAAAGAACTGCACAAACTCGATATCCATGTACCGCCAAAAATCGCCAATTTTCTCCAAGGGGTACACGTAAATATACTTTTACCCCTAATAATCCATCCGATAAGGATTATGATGTGTTAAAACAGCAATGTGAATCCATTTAAATTCTAAGCCACTTATAATTCCTAGCAGGCATTTGTTTTAAATGGAAAGCAACACGAAGGGAAAACAATTAGTGTGTATATGGTGTGCAGAGTTAAGATCATTGGCCATACCGTGTACTTACAATCACAGAATGTTAAATGCGATGTTACGGGACGTATTTGAGAGTGGGTCTAAGAAATAGGGCTATCTTAGATAGAATTTTTGAACAGGATAATATCAGTTTAGATAACACTATAGAAATAACTTTGACAATTGAAAAATCGTTAAAATGTGCCAACAATATAATTGGTTAACCAGTCGAAGTTAAGGAGTTTAGTGCCAGGAATAAATGCAAATCTAAGTCAGTCGCTCCAAAACTAGGATTTTTGTGACTTAATTTAAGTTTAACTCTCAATATTTAGTACCATTAGATGCAGAAAAATTAGCTTTTTAATTTGAGATCACTTTCATAATACTAGATTTAACAGATTTTAAGTTACAGCCATTTAATTAACGAAAAACTTGCTAAGTCATTGTTTGAAAGGGGGGGAAAAGAAGTTTCGAAAAAAGCTCACTTGGTAACAAAAATTTCGGGTTTCTGCCCAACGCGGGAAGCGATTTCCGGCCGGGGAGTTTTGGGGTTGTCATATTTGACCTTCGCAGCTGTTTAGGCGTGGCCTTAGTTAGGCGCGAATTTGGCGAGATTAAAGTTTGAGTTTAGTTCAACACCGCGAAAAAAAAGTAGAAATTTTGTTTAGCTTAAGGCGGAAATTTTCAAAACTGTTTTTTTTAACCTTTTCAGGAGGGGGCTTAGCTAATGCGGCTACCCTATCACATCTAAAAGGGGTTAGTTCGCGGGAATTCGTTCTCTTGACATTCACTTTTGACGCTGGTTGTACTTTTTTTGCTTGTTCTCGCACACTATGTTTCAGACTTCTAGAAGGCTGACTGGCTTCACTCTGAAACTATGGGGGCCATTCTCCCAAGTGACATTGCAGGTCTTCACGGACATTAATCTACTCGACCACTCAAATCATGGCCGATAGTAAGTCCCTGCATAGTTAATTCATCTACTGGTTGCAGATTCACTTTTCGATCAACGTACAGCTACTATGGTCCGACTCACGATTAAATATCTTCTAAATTCCGATTGTGCTCCTAAGATTTTTCTCCATTATCCGAGTGTCTTCAATAATTGAGGTAGAACCGTGCCGGATACTTGTCATCGAAGTTGTCTTGAAGCCAACTGTCATCGAAGATGTCATGAAGCTACCTGTCATCGAAGATGTTCTGAAAAAGATACTGGTCATCAAAGTTATCATTGAGGCTACCTGTCATCTAAGATGTCCTGGAAGGTACTGGTCATTGAAGTTATCGTTGAGGCTGTATGTCATCTAAACGCACCTCTAGAACTTTCGGTTCAATTTTCTTCTCAACTCTTGTACACGTTCAGAAAATTATTATGTAGGAAGTATTAACGTAATTTTCTTTTTTTGAAAAGGCTTATAAACCAAATACCTTGCTACTATTATAGGACTGTAGGTGTATCCAAATATGAATAATTTCTTAATCCCAAATCTTAATAATTACCGAATTTCTCTTAATGCTTAAGAGTTAGGAAATGTTAGGGAGAATTTTGTTGTTGTTGTTGTTGATTTCGTATAACTCAATGAACTATAAATATTTTGTTGAAATTGATTATTAGTAAAGTTTTCTAGCTAGGAATTTCGTTAAAAGTTGTTTTTTTTTAACTGATGTTTATATGCAATATGTTGGAAAATAATTTGCTTTTCAAAAGTTATCAAATAACCTGTATGATGATAATTCGATTATACGATTAAGAAGGTGAAATAGGAATAGATTTCGGTGACAAAATGTTAAACATGATAGATATCGAATGAGCAATACATTATAAGGTATTTCTCCCATTTCCCTAGCGTACCTTCGTGGTGTAACGGT